TAAAGCAACCTGGGGACTTGTGTTTCCTATGTGAATGAAAAAGCCTTTAGAGAACATCTTTCACATAAATGACACTAAACTATATTTTATTATCACCAGAGGTCAGTGCCAGCCAGTGATAACAAATTTTAAATTAGGGCTCAGAAGAACCTATCAGCCCCAATAACTCCTTAAGCAGGCTCTGTACCTTCTCCCTTCTTCTATTTTCCTTCCTTCTCCATTCCCAAAAAAGCCCAAAAATCATGCTTGGCCAGGAATAAGATACTCTCACAGCCTCTCTAAAAAACAATGAAATGGTCACATGAAACTGTGCATGCCTGTTGGTCCTTCCTTGCTCTAGTCTAAAAGATTAACTTTAATCCAACTGAAAGAAGAAAAAAAAAAAGATTAAGAAATGTTCTTTTCTTTATGTAGCTAAATATCAACATAATCCTGATTATGATATTTATTCAGTTAACATTCACAAAATTGGAGCTGAGCGTTACCCATGTCATCACTCATAAATTCACTTCTTCACCTAATTCAATAAAATACGGACTCAATGGGCATTTCAAAAGAGAACAAATATCCATGTGCTCACTTACAGTGTTACTGTGAAATATTCAATACAGTAGGTAAGAGTGAGTGAATAAAACACGATAGTATAAAATTTCAATGACATTCTCTAAGTATGTCCCTCATCTAGTATTTGTGAACTAAATATTTTTATCTAAAAGCTGATAATCTGAACTGAAAGGCATTTGTGGTCAATTTTCTGGGGGCCAAAGTAGTAAAGAAAATGACTACCCACTGCCATTGAGTAGATTCCAACTCACAGCAACCCCCACTGGGTTTCTGAGGCGGTTAAATCTTTACGGAAGTAGATTGCTCAGTCTTGCTTCCGAGGAGCAGTTGGTGGGTTTGAACCACCAACCCTCTGGTGAGCAGTCAGACACCTTTAGGCACTGTGCTACCAGAGCTTCAAGAAAATGACTGAAGATCAGAAAATTAAATACACTAAAACAGGGCTGGCAAATTTTTTCTGTAGATGACAGATATCATAGTAAGTATTTTAGGTTTTGCAGGTCATACCATCTACTATCTCTATTGCAACTACTCAGCGTTACTACTGTAGCACAACAGCAGACAGAGATAATATGTAAACAAGTGTGACTGTGTTCCAATAAAACTTTATTTACAAAAAGAGGAGTTGACCCTAGTAGTTTGCTGACTTCCGTACAAAAATACAGATCCTCTCGTTATCACAATGTTTATGTGTATACTGCAAAGCAGTGATCAAGATCAATATGAAAAAATCACGCTAAGTAACTGTTCTCCCACAATAATTTTGTTTTCTAGTTGGAAGAAAAAATATCGCCTGCATTTCAAAAACAAAAACATTAAAAAAAACATATTCACTAAAGAAAATTTTATTTTGAAATGAAAATTGATCTGTATTTAATCTCTAAAACCTCAGAGAAAGTCTATGTGTATGTGGCTGTAGGGAGGGAACAAAGGCAGTAGGGGGAATAAATGTTTACCCATGATTTATGGATTCATACAACTGCATAAGCTGGTAAGGTTCAAAGCATAGGACATATTTATGCCATCAAGAAGCTCATGACATAACTAAAGAGAAAACTCTATTTTAAGGCTCTGCATTCCCAAACATTTAACATTGAGGGCATATGGCATATTTTTAAAAGATATTCTAAAACTAGATTTCAAAATGAAGACTTAGACTTTTATGAACAGAAAGAAAAAAGGCTTCACCAGTCATATAACACCCAGAATTCTATTTTCTATTTCTATTCTTTTTCCCACATCAATATTGCATTCCCACAAGTAACTATGGCTCACTGCAAGGGCATAGCTACCGAAAAGAATTTATTAGAACCTTGTTGGGGATGGGGAAGAGCAGTATTGAACTGGAAAAATCCCGAGGTGATTCTGCTCCCTCTACCCCTTTCTTCCCTACTTTCCAATTCCCACTTCAAGAAGCCCTGTGACAGATCATGATCTTCTCTCAAAATATAAAAAGGCAGATTTCTCCACTGGCAAAGCAGAAGCTTGAATCTTAAAATGTCCTGTAAGTAACAAATCTGTGTGCCTTACTTATAGGGAACTCTATTATCAAAAGGGTAAGTCTGTGTAGGAAAAAAACAAAAAATTCCCAGTTCTATGAACAAGAATTAATCAGTGAGAAAACCACACCTTTATCCCCAGGTCCACCATTAATTAAGGAGCTCTCATGGTAGTGTAGTGCCTAAGGCACTTGACTGCTAATCAAAAGGCTGGCGGTTCAAACCCACCAGCCACTCCTGGGAAGGAAGATGGGGCAATCTACTTGCGTAGAGATACCGCCTCGGAAACCCAAGGAGGGGTTGCTATGAGTTGGGTCCAACTCGACAGCACATAACAACAACAACATGGTGTAGCGCCCAAGGCATCTGACTGCTAACCAGAAGGCTGGAGGTTCAAACCCACCAGCTGCTCCTCGGGAGGAAGACTGGGCAACCTACTTTCATTGAGACACCACCTCGGAAACCCAAGGCGGGGTTGCTATGAGTCAAATGGACCTGACGGCAGTCAGTTTGGTTTTGGTGTTTATCATTAATTTCTCTGAGGTTTTAGAGATTGTATAGTGATATGTAAGTGTCATGCTTAGTAGGGTGGAGGGTCGACGAAAGAGAGGGAGGCCTTCAACGAGATGGATTGACACGGTGGCTGCGATGATGGGCTTAAGTATAGCAGGGATTGTGGGGCTGGCCCGGGATCGGGCAGTGTTTGTTCTGCTGTGCATGGGGTCGCTATGAGTCGGAAACGACTTGACAGCACTTAACAACAACAACAAATGTAAGTGAGGTCACATCAATTAGGAACAATTCCTAAACAAAAATTGTAAGTTTTGTAAGTTTTTAAGGGAGAAAAATACATAATGCTAATTTTTTTTAATTATAATTTTATGCCTACTCCAAAATATTTTAAAACTCTGGCAGAATTTATATCTAGTTCTTTCTTTAAACAACATATCTATTCAGAACTCTCTTGTTACTGTTTTTCAGTGGAAAGTAATATTAATTCTACTACTTAAAAAGAGAGAAATTAACCATAATTCATTCACCAGTGCCAAGGAAACCAGACAGCAAAAAAAGCAGACCCTAAAAAAACATTTATACTGTAACTGGCAACCATTACAGGCAACAGAAATTTTAACTTCAACATAAAAAAATGAAAGACTCCTCAAGGTGAATGATAAGGCAAGCTTTTACTTTTTTAGCTTATTTTCTAAACTTGTTCACAATGAGCATGTAATTTGTAAGTTTGAAAAATCTGAGACCTGATGAAAGATAATTTCCATACATAGGAATGAAAGCACTCCTAACTGAGAACTATATTTAAGATTTTCTCATTATAAAAAAGCGTAAGAAGGATTCCATTACCTTAAGTAGTTATAATCGGTACATAAATGAGTTAAGTGTGGCTGTATTACAACAAAACTTTACAAATACAAGTAATGGGCCGGCCTTCAGACAATAGTTTCTCAAACTCCTCCTCTAAACAGCTTTATTATTATATGGTCTAAGATTGAGAGACACTGAAGAGATACACTATCTACATACATATATTCCACCCTATCCAGTCTTTTCTACCTGGACTCAAAAGTGCTCATAGCAGCTTGAGGGCAAAAGAGCTGGGAGAAAAAGGAGGAAAGGTCACTATGTCAACAGGACCCACTCCACAGATGATTACTTCATTTAGATCATCTATTCACCAAACATTTGCTCTGGAAATAAAGTCCTACATCTGTCCTCTGGCCTCAAAGAATGTATGGTCTAGTACCAAACCAAAAACAAACAAAAAAAAAACCAAACTCACTGCCGTGGAATCAATTTCAACTCATAAGGACCCCTCCTTGGGTTTCTGAGGCGGTATCTCTATGCAAGTAGATTGCCCAATCTACCTTCTGAGTGGTGCAGTACAGACGATAACATATACACACAAACACCTACCAATTAGGCCACCTCCACGCCACGTGATGGCACAAATAACACCTAACATTTGCAAAGCGCTTCATGACTTAATGTGTTCCCATATGTATTTTCTTAATAAAGCCTCATTATAACTTGTGAGGTACATGAAGTATGTGGTTTGTTCTCATTTTACACAAAGCAGCAGATCTAGGATTCCAACCCAGTTCTGACACTACTGCACCACACCTCCTCAGGGCAGCTTTCTGTTAGGAGCCAGTGAAAGAGGTGGAGCCATGTGGAATGGGCCACAAAGAATGAGGAGGACTTTAATAGGTGACGAAACCATGGCATTCAAAGAACACAACAGTGACGGAAGTCCAGAAGTCCAGCAAGCAAATACAACAAGTCTAAAGATAATGCTGATTCGGCCTGCCTAAAGCACACAGAAAATAAGACTATAAAGATAAGTTGGAAGATGGAAGAGAACTAAGTACCAGACTGCCTACGACTCCACCAAAAAAAAAAAACAAACCCACTGCCTTTGAGTCAACTCCGACTCATAGTGACCCCACAGGACACAGCAGAATTGCCCCATAGGGTTTCCAAGGCTGTAAATCTTTATGGAAGCCTCATCTTTCCCCACACGGAGCAGCTGTTGGGTTTGAACCACTGACCTTCAGTTAACAGCCGATTGCCTTTATACTAGGCTACCAGAGTTCCTCCATGACCCTACAGGCAATGGGAAATTAAATGGTTTGGGAAGAAGTAGGAAGAAAAAAACATAAATGAATCTTTTACTATATGTTTGGTACTTTGCAAAACAGCTGTATCATCTCAAGAGGGTTACTTATGAGGTAGGACTGCAGGGAGATCAGACTTGAGGGAATCCTCTGCAGGGCTGGAAAGACTGAGTCTAAACTAAGGGAAAGAGTCTAAGAGAAAGGTAAGCAGTAGAAGGCTATCACAGTGGCTTCAGCGTGACCACTTGAAATTAAACCAATGTCTGAAATTACCTTTAATTTTTTTAACATTTTATCTAAAACTTACCGAATCTTCTGGAGGCCTCTGAATTTTTCCCCAATCCACAGAAGGTCCCTTTTCTTGCAAAAATCTATGAAATAGCTTCCGAAATCCATCAAGGTCTTTTTTAGTATGCTATGAAAATAGAAATTATTGTTACAACCAGAACAAGCTTAATATTTAATAAAAACAGACACAAACTATACATTTAAAACGCCTCTAAAATAAAATTCTTAAACTATCAGAACAAGGGGTAGAGTCCTTTAAAATACACTCATTTAAAATTAAAGAATTATTACATCTTGTGTTTAGTTAAGGTTGGGTGATCACCATCATTTGCAATAAATGAGAGGGTAGACTGATGAAAACAAAAACACTGTGGAGTCCCTACCTCAACCTCATGCGATGGTGCGGTGGTGAGTATTTTTTCTAGTTCCTTCTTCACAGATAATTCTAGCTCTTGACGAATGACTTCTTGGAACTGAGAAGCGCCATCTTGAGACATTGCTTTACTAAGATCTTAAAACAAAAATATAAAACCACCAGCTGAGAAACTGGCCATTCAAACGTCTGGTAAATTACAACTGATTTATCAGTGGTGTGCCCAGGAAAAAAAAAAAAAAAGAAGAAGAAGAATTTAAAGCTCAATCCACCATCTTTCCCCAGTAGTCAGCAGTGTCAATTAGCTAGGATAGTGTACTCATATGGGCTCAGATTTGACCACTGGGTACATCTACATGCCTTACTAGTGTATCTAGGACACAAATCTTTTAGGGAGATGAAGAAGGTGGATATAAGAGGATTAATCTTCATTTGAGCATAGAGATGCATATCTGCTAATGTTTCTCATCGAAACTGGAGAAAAATTACAGCAATCTGTAATGTCATTTTATCACAGAATTCTATTCAAGTCTTAAGAGAACATGAAGGGGTTTGGCAATTTCACAGAAGCAAAAGACTCTTGCCTCCTCCTCTCCAGGACAAGAAGAATTTGAGGAATCCTTTCCATGTTAGAAGGGAAGCCACTCTAACTTCACAGCCTCCACTAAAGAACTCTTTGAGATATATTGGCAATTTCAACAGTGTCTCTACTGTTCTAAAAATGTTCATTTCAAAAGAAGAAGGGCACCTACCACCACCCAAGACTATGACCCTTAGTCACCCTTCAGACCTGGAAGTGAACTTACTTCCCCACCCTCACTCCCTACCCCCTAACACCCCCATCTCTTGTGTCTCAATTTTCAGCTGCATAATCAACAGGCATATAAGTTGAACAATAACACCAGGGAGGTACACACTCCTTAGAACAATCAGCCATTTGAGATCAAAAGGGCAGCATTTGTCCAAGGACAAAATTCAGAAGGCAGGAAGGGATAGGAAAGGAGAAGGAATGTAAACAGGAAATACAGGGAGAAGTGGATGAAAGCCTGTTACATTAAGGGGATTGTAATCAATGATATGAAATAAAATGTGTACTAAATGTTTAATGGAAAACTGATTGTCCGTAAACCTTCACTCAAATTACAATAAAACGTAAAAACAAACAAAACAAAACAAAAAAAACTCGTAATGCTGAAGGCAGAAATGTTTTACTAATTAAGCTAAAAGGAAAAAAGGAGAGAGGTGAACTGCTGTACGGAAAGTGTATTTGCTCTATAAATTTTCACCCAAATTACAATAAAAAGAAAAGAAAAAAAAAAAAAAAAAAGGAGAGAGGCACAGGGTTGACACTCCCTTTCTGGTCCTCAATTTCAGCCAACACTTTTCACTGCTTATCTGTATCAGACAAGGCTATCAGGGCTTTTGGTATAGCCGGGCACATCTGTGACAGATGGGATTCACTAAAGGTGACAAAAATACCTGTTAGACAAAAACAAGCAAATAGAACAATACAGAAAAAGAAAACACACCAGGCCCAAATACCTTGGGAGAAAAATGCCAACACAGGCTAAGTACATACACTCTTTACCTTCTAGACAGTAATCATCTTGTCTAAAACCAAACCAAACCCATTGCCATCAAGTCAATTCAGACTCATAGTGACCCTATAAGGCAGAGTAGAACTGCTCCCTAGGGTTTCCAAGGCTGTCAATCTTTACAGAAGCAGATTGCTTCATCTTTCTCCCACGGAGCACCGGGTGGGTTCAAACCGCCAACCTTTTGGTTAACAGCAGAATGCCTTAACCACTGTACCACCAGAGCACCTCTTACCATCTTGTCTACTTCTCACAAAGTTAAAATACAATCACATTATTGCCTATTTCTGCCCATCCTTAGTACTCTAACTCAAATCTCTTTTCTATAAATGTATTTGTAAAGCTTATGTTTAAACATTTTATTTGCTAACTAGGGATTTCTACAAATGCTGGTTATTTTAGGAGAATCATAGTTCAATAAGGCCAAAAACTCTGCCCCTTATATACTCTTAAACACCTGAATTCTTTCATTCATCATCTAAGCAGGAGAAGAAAACATTTAAATAGGAAGAATTAAACAAGCATAATCAATACTGTTTCTAAGATACTTCTGAGAACAGAAATTAGTAAGTTACATAACTCCTGGGACAATTTATTTAATGTTGACAGCCACCCCCCCATCTAAAAATGTTAACAAATGAGATGATTAAAAAGCACTTCAAAAAATCTTTTTATACATATTTTCTAGCATATTAAAATGTAAAGGGAAAAACCCAAGGAAATTTGGTGAGAGTACAATACCTCAAACGTAAAATAGCCGTTTTCTGTGTTCTTTTTACAGGCATAAACCACTGCACAACTAAGTTTATAGACTCCAGTGGAGCAAGCAAAATGGCCCAAGACTGTGGTTCCTAAGTAACGCCTCTGTGCGCTAAGAAACCACACAGCACCTGTGTATTCCATAAATTACCTAAAGATATGTCTTGACTATTGTTGTTATGTGCCATCGAGTCGGACCCGACTCATAGCGACCCCTCCTTGGGTTGCCGAGGTGGTATCACTACGGAAGTAGATTGCCCAACCTTCCTTCTGAGGAGTGTCTGGTGGGTTTGAACCACCAGCCTTCTGGTTAGCAGTGCCTTAGGCACTATGCTACCAGAGCTCCTATGTCTTGACTAGTGAGCAGCAATTTGATTCTAACCTGTAAATAACCCATGCAACGGATGAGCACATTTGCATGAACTATGACAGGTAATAAAAAGTTACTGCAGAATATTTTAAACTAGAGTAAGTGACAACATCCATGCAAGTTTATCACTTTGCATACTGAGTTATAATTTAGTTTGTCACAGCTTATATCCCCTACCCTGTCAACCTATGTATGCCTGAGATCTTGCCCCCTCAATCTAAACCAATTCCCATATTAATGTTTGGGAAATAATCTGGGGAAAAAAATTTACTAAATATAGATCCTGTAAAGAACACATGAATTGTTTTGAGTCTCTGTCACATATCAATTAAAACAGATCAAGAAGTATACAATGCTTTTGAAAATAAGTTTTTATCATTGTTATTCTCAAAGTCATCTATAGACTTGCTGCTTTGTTGCCAAAGTTAGATCCCTGAAAGCAAGCATTCAAACAGTCACATTCCTAAAAAATAAAGTAATGGAAACATCTAACTTACTTACATTTTGGGCAAATGCCAAAATGAGATCAAAACTAAATGTGACTGCAAAAGTTTAAAAAATAACTATAGTAGCTGTTTGAAATTTGTCTAAATGAGCACAAGTCAAAAAGGCAAAAAGTCAAAAAAAAAAAAAAAACCTTTAGAAGATTCCTCTGCAGAACTACAGCCTATCATCCATTTACATGATTTAAAGTCTTAGTGGCTAAGGCACTTGACTGCTCACCAGAAGGCTGGCGGTTCAAACCCACCAGCCACTCCTCGGAAGGAAGGTTGGGCAATCCTACTTCCGTAGTGATACTGCCTCGGAAACCCAAGGAGGGGTCGCTATGAGTCGGGGCCGACTCGACGGCAAATAACAACAACAACAACAAAGTCAAAACACACAGAATCTCTCTCTCTATCCTCCCTATCAAGCCAAGCTAACACAGTCTGGCTAAAAGATCGTAACATCTAACACTACAAGTGATCTTTGCCAACTGTAGCTGGTCCAACCTTTAAAAGGTTAAGTTTAAAAGCCAGACACAGATTCAAACCCAAGTTGTGATGCTACACAAACTCCCTACTATACATTCCTGCCATTTGTTTGATATAACACCAAATACACACAATAAGCAATCTGTATTCCTTCTATTCCCTTTGTAGATATGAACAGCTTATATAAGAAAAGGACATACAGCAAGCCCATAGCCTCTTCCACCCTATTCCAGAGTTGTTTCTTTCCCCTTCCCCTAGGCAAAGTACTACTATCCAGTTCTGGTTTTGAATAAGGAAGGGATTTTATTTATTTATTTTATATTTTGACCATTTTATTGTGGTTTGGGTGAAAGTTTACAGAGCAAATTAGTTTCCCATTCAATAATTTACACACATCTTGTTCTGTGACATTAGTTGCAATCCCCTCAGTGTAACAACACTCTCCTCACTTCTTCCCTGGGTTCCCCGTTTCCATTCGTTCTTTCTTGCCCCTTCCTACCTTCTGAACTTTGTTTTTGGGAAAATGCTGCCCTTTTGGTCTTGTATAGTGACTGCTCTGAGGAGTCTGTTCTTCATAGCTATCGCTGCTCACTTATAAGACTGTCTATTGTTTGGCTGAAAGGTGATCCCTGGGGGTGGATTCAGTTCCAGGTTTGAAGGGGGAACAAAAGCCCATAGTCTTGGGGGTTCCATCAGTCTCTATTAGACCAGTAAGTATGCTTTTTTTTTTTTTAAACGATTTTTAATTTCATTCTACATTTTTCTCCCACTCTGGCTAGGATCTTCTATTGTGAAAGGAAGGGATTTTAAAGAATAAAGACTAAGAAATGGTAATTAAGCATGAAAGGTGGGTACAGATCAGAGGAGGCACAGAGCTGAAAACCACTTCCCTTTGCAGTGACCTCTTTGTTCATCTTGACTTTTCCAAGAAAAGCCTGGAATTTCTGGTAGGAAAAGAAGCACAGACCTTAGATGCTTTCTTGGATTGAACATTCTCCAGTTACACTTCTGGCAATGACAGCTGTGCTTCCAAGGGAAGATCAATTACAGAATCCCCTAAATAATACAAGATCTCTAACCTAAAACTTTCTGTCTCTCCCTACTTCCTATCAATAAAGTTGATCCTTCTCAACGTTAGACAGAGAGAGTGGGTTAGGAGTCAAATACTTCATCACCTCAGTCATAAATCAAAACATTTTTAGAGCTGGGAGGAAGCACTGCATCTACCCTCATTTTTTTTTTTCACAGATGAGGAAACTATCCCTTGAGGAAAACTGTTGAAAATAATTAAATAACTTGTGTAAGGTCACAGGGAGGACTCATTATAGACCTCAGAAGAAAATCCAGTTATAAACATAGTCTGCTCATTGTTTCTCCTCCTAATCCAGTTCTATTTCATCCTTGGTTAACAATCCCTAAATATCATTTTTCTCCAAAAGC